TGGGCGGTGATACAGCCTGTGAAAGAATTCACAACTAAAAGCAATGCAGAGAGGAAGTTTATTTTACTTTCCAAGAGAGGAAAAGGCCAAGTATTGCTGGTCAATTCAGGGCAGGGAAGAAATGGTGGCTTCTGCTTTTCAGCAGTGCCTGTTACTAAGGGACAAAGAATGGAGGGGCCTTGGGCTGAGCTGAAGTTGTGTAGATAAGAGGGGCTGTCCTTAAAAGTTACAGTTTATTTGGTTCCAGGAGACAGTCTGGCAGATGTTCTAGGGAGTTGTCTTATCAGTTTCTTTCCCAGCCTATAAAATATGACCAGAGAAAAAATTGTGAAAAGTTCAAAAGAGACTTGTTTGAGGGCGTGGAGTGGAGGAAACTTTCTACTAACTAGAGACTCCTTAATGTGAGTTATTCTTGAGGTGTAACATCTGCAGGAAGGAGGGGTATGTAAGAATTTAGCCTTAAAAGTAGCTTATCTTGTTCTGCAGTTTGAACAGAGGAGATCTTTGAATTAGAGGAGCCAGTAATTTGGGGTTTAATTCGCAAGTGCTTCTCATAAATTGTGGAAGGTCACAGAAAAGAAACAGAAAGACCTCCTTCTTGTCCTTACAAATACCTCGACGACTTTTAGAACCTAAGGCTTTATTAACCTGAGGAGTGAATACTTCTAGGAGACCAAATAAAGGGGCACCAGCAGTACTGGGGGCATTATGTTCAGGAGGATGTCAGCAACGGGTCCCAAAGGAAATACAACACTCAGTGATTTTTCTCCTGACCCCATAGGTTTTAAAACCACAGTATGGAGAAAAATGATGGGACATAGTAAACATAGCAAGCTCAGGTAGCCTGGCATTGCATGGTGAATCCTACAAACTCAGGCCAAAAGTAACCACCTGTTGTAGCTGGACAAGTGGAATGAAAAGTTAGCTAGAAGAGGACATTCTGCCAGGAAAAGGCGGGGGCCTGAAAGCGGGCCACGTCAGAACAAAGTCTTGCACGCAAGACTTATTGTTCAGAGGCAGAACTTTCCTTGAGGTGATAAATAGTCCATGAGGGCATGGAAAGTTCAAGGGAGGGTACACTGCTGCAGGTGGAAAGGGTCTTTGTATAACATAGGAAATTAATAGTGTAATGTATAACTTAGCTGTGATGATCTCATAAGCATGCCTGTTAGTCATTGTCACTTGCTGTACTCCATTGTTATTTGCTGTACTCCCCAAATAAAAGCTATGAGAGCTTTGGGGGCTTGGCTATTCGCCTGAGCGAGCAGTAGCCCTCTGCTTCTCTAAACTTAATCCTGCACGCCAAGCTCATCTCAGCGTCACCGTTCACAAAGAACATAAACATCTGTTAAAAAGAATTTTTGTGAGTTTATTTGAGCCAAACTGTCGACATATGCCGGGAATCAGAACCTCACCGAATTGAGATAATGCTCTGGAGAATGTCGGGATTACAATTGTATTTATACATTGCAATCAAAGGAGGGACATAGGTGAGTTACATGAAATTCATTGGTAATAGATGAAGGATGAGGGATAAAGCAAAGCGGGGAAACCCCTGGGATTGGATAAAAATAAAATGATGGACACATACTTAGGTGGGTACAGGAACATTAACATGATAAACAAAGGAATCTGCTGCATCTCTCTTGGGCCCAGCACACCTGGCTGTGCCCCAGGGGCTCCATAAAAAGGGAAGTCTCAAGTTACCCAGACATTTCAAGGATATGTTATCATAGATGCAAAAAGACAGATAGGCTCAGTTATGGTAAAGGTTGACCTTGTCAGTGAAGATACTGGCCTAGGACGTAACTGCCCACCATAACTGCTTTAGTGAAAGTTTAATTTCAGACCATCCTTTGTGGTTACTTTAGGCCTTTGAGTCTGCAAAACTGCTATGCAGGCCTCCCCTGAGCTTGTCAGGTTAGCATGTGGCCCCTTTCGTCCACACACCTATGATGGTTTGAAGTTAAAACTTTCTAAGGAAAAGCGAGTAACGGGTATTTATGCCGTAGCCTCCTTTTTTTTTTTTTTTTTTTTTTTTTTTGCAAAGGTCAATCTTGAGATTATTTTATTTTTGCATCTAGAATACATATCTTTGGATTTTCAGGGAAATTTCCTTTTTTACAGACTCCTAAGGGCACAATCTCAAACACAGAAAACCTCAGGATGCAATTATTACTATTGTTGTGTCAAATATTAACTGTTAACTATTGGAGAACATTTTAAAAAGAAGTTTTTGTCTATTTTTTTTTACTTTTTATTTAATCCCAGAGATTTCCCTTTTCATTCCCCCCACTCTAATTTATCACCAGTGAAGTTCATCTAACTCCCTTATGTCTTCTCCTTTTAGTATAATGTATAAGAAAGGTGCAAAACTGTCGTTCTCCAGAGCATTACTCAACCTTTTGTTATTTTGCTTCCTGGAAAATGTCTCCGACTTGGGTCAAATAAACTTAGAAAAAGTCTCCACAGGTTTGGACATTTCTTACAACAACACCAAAAGCAATCGACTCATGTGAAGCAGGAGAATGTTACATGAAGGGGTATCAGCATTTCCAGGGACTCAACTGATGGAAGACAGATTTATAAACACAAATTTAGAGCAGACCCAGGACCCAGCAAGCTACAGCTTTCCGGTTGCTTCCGGAGAACAGAAGAAAATGCTCCAGGCTCAGGTGACTTTGTTATTATTGTGTGCGTGTGTGCATGCCTGCATGCATGTGCTTTTAATCCTTACCTGAGGACATTTCTTTTTACCCTTCCCCACTTTCCCTCTAAGATTCTGCAGTAATTCCATGCTTCCATGTCTCTGAATCTACTCCATTCATCAGTTTTTTTGTTCATTAGATTCCAAATATGAGTGAGATCAAGTGACACTGTCTTTCTCTGACTGACTTATTTAACTTAGCATGATGCTCTCAAGGTCCCTCCATGCTGTGTGAAAGGGTAAGAGATTCTTCATTTTTACTGCTGCATAGTATACCATGGTATAAATGTAAAACAGTTTTTTATCCACTATTCTACTGATGGGTACTTGGGCAGTTTCCAGATTTTTGCTACTGTAAATTGTGCTGTTATGAACAGAGGACTGCATACATTCTATCTGATAGTTTCAAGTTTCTTAGGATATATGCCTAGGAATAGAATCACTGAATTAAATGGCAGTTCTATATTAAAATTTTTGCAAAAATTCCAAACTGATTTCCATAACAGCTGTACCAGTTTGCGTTCCCACCAGGGTTGTACTAGGGTTCCTTTATTCACATCCTCCACAGCACTTGTCCTTGGCTGATTTGTTGATGACAGCCATTCTGACAGTTGTGAGGTGATATCTAATTGTTGCTTTAATTTGCATCTCTCTGATGATCAGTGACTTTGAGCATTTTTTACATGTCTCTTGGCCATCTTATCCACACTACAGCCCAAGCAGAGCTGACCTTTTGGATGGCATCAGAAGCAGATGCTCTTAAGTATGAGTGTCTGTTTTGTGACAAAAACTTTGTATAATGAATTCAATGGAGGCAGTTTGGATCGAGTCAGAGACTTGAGCAACCTCCCCCAGCTACATTTGGCCTGAAGGAGACACATGCCAAAAGTCCTAAATGAAGAAACAATGCCTGCCATTCAGAAAGAGCAGGTCCTGAAGAAAGATATGCAAAACCAGCCCCGCAGGTGCTGGAGAAACAAACTTACCCCGGACATCACCTCGATGAAGGCGCTAGAGGACCCTTAGTGTAGTTGGTGTGTTCTTGGGCTCTTTGACCCTAAATCCAGTCCTTTAGTCAACTGAGAAATAGGGCATCCTGGCATTGGAGCGGAGAAACTACATTACCCACAAGACCAAGCGTGGAATGCCACCAGGCTGAGCCAATGGGGGCTCAGAGAAGCCATTTCCCTTCGGCCGCTTCTGTCGGGCGGGACCGGTAGTCCTCCTGGCGGGTTTTGTCTTTTTACGTTTTTGTCTCAGGCGGTCAGGAGTTCTTGGGCTCAGTCCCGTGGAGGAGGCTGGAGAGTGGTGCTCCCCGCCTCACAGCCCGTGGTCGGAGCCTCCAGTGGTGCTCACAGCTCACACGTGGGATTGAATCTCGGAGTCACCGCCAGGACCCACGCCAGGGCCGGGACAGGGACCGCCATTCCTGCAGCGGCTTCTACTCCCGCCCCGCTCAGCCCACAGAGGGCAATGGCGGCGCCCCCGCTGAGGAGACGGGCTGAGGTGAGTTCAGTCCCCCAGGCCCTCACCCCCTCCTCACACAGACACCACAGCCTGGGGAGGGCGCCTGTCCCGTCCT